GAGGACAGGAATCAGGCTAGGTCAGGGGTCAAACGGGGCCAGGGTCAGCCTGAGGACAGGAATCAGGCTAGGCTGGGGTCAAATCGGGCCAGGGATGAGCATGGGCTCAGAATCGGAACTCAGATGTTGGCCTCAGTTTTCCTATCTGTAAAACGAGAACAAACCCAAATATCTCAAAATCCTCCTTGGATCTCAGAAGCTACAGCTCCTGATCAGCCTGGTCTAGATCCTTCCGGCAGACTCCAGGATCTCTCAGGGCAGGGCCGGGGATGGGGAGGCGAGGGCGGGCCATCCTACCTGCCCACTGAAGCCGATCCCATCTGGGGAATTGAGGAACTCTGCGTAGACCTGGTTGGCTTGCTCGACGACGGTGGCAACCGCATCCTGGTACTGCGGGGAGGAGATGGCCAACAGGGGCAGGGCGGCCAGAGGGACGTGGTCCTGGCTGCTGCTGAGACAGCCCTCATCGTGGCTGTAGGGGTTCAGGCTGCAGACAGGGGGGCAAGGTAAGCCCAGCCGGGATCAGGCCGAGGGTGGGTTTGGAGCTGCAGGCCAGGCAGAAGACAGCATATCCTGGCCAGGAACTGGGCCTCTGCTCCGGGGCTCTTCAGAAGGACCCAGGCAGGAGCCAGACAAGACAAAGCCCAGGCAGTAGGGGGCTGGAGGGGAGCCAAGCCTGTGCTGACCCCCACGTGTCCATCCCCATGCCAGCCTGTGCTGTGGGCCCTGGAGTCTCCCGTGACAGCAGAGCTCTTTCACCCTCTTCTGCATGGCCCCAAAAGACACCCCAGTTGTGAAGGAAGCTACTGGTGTGGGTCAGGGTGGGGACATATCATGGCAGACTTCCTGGAGTAGGTGGGGTTTGAAGTAGGCCTAAAGGAAGGCTTTAGGGAAGCTAGAAAGAAGGAAAGAGGATCTGCAAGACAGGGGGATCACATGTCGCCCACAACTTGGAGGTGGGCATGCAGCTGCACGCACAATATTGTGTCCTTCTTTCTGGGGAGAGGAGCCAGACCCTTCGTCGGCTTTGTGGAAAGGGCTGTGACCCCAGAAAGGACAAGGGAGCCTGCCCTACAGCACCTCCTCTGCCAGTGGATCGTCCAGCCCCTGCATGGCCACCCTCACTTCCCTGCCTCCCCACTAGCAAGTCCCTCCCTCTCTGGGTGGCTTAGACCTATCTGGGACCAGCTCCTGGCTGCCTGCCCCCAACCCCACCCCCACCCCTCCCGCCTCCGTCCCCTGGGACCCAGCTGGCCAGGAGGGACCACAGAGGGAGGGAATGCCCACCCCCTACCCAGAGCCTGCCCTTCCCCCATGCTCTAAGCTCAGGCTGACTGAGGGCCCAATACGGATCCCACTGGGGACCTGACAGGAATGGGGCAGGTGACAGGGCTAAGGGCACCCTGGGCAGGTGGCAGAGACCTCGTGGTATGCAAGGCCGGCCTAACAGCCATTCCTCATCTCCAGAGAACACAAATTAGAGGAAACAGGCCTGGACTGCAGCCGGAGAGATCCTAATTAGCCGGGAAAGAGCTCCATCCCGGCAGTGATTAGGGTGATGGATGGCCCTGGCAAGGCGCTGCCTGGGGTGGGGGCTACGCTCCCTCCCACGGTCCCCTGGTCCCCTTGAGGGGCTGGCCATCCGTCTTCCTGGAGATCCTCCTGGCCTGGGCTGGGTGACCCAGCTCTAAAGGTCAGATCCTGGGGGCGAGGGGGTGGGGGTCCTGAGATTGATTACGAAGGAGCACAGTTAACTCCCGACGCTGGAGTGTGAAGGGAACGGAGCTTCCCAAACCTCACTGCAGAGCAGAAGCCCGGAGCAGTCGGTGAAGATGCAGGTTCCAGGGCTCCTCCCTGCCCCCCTCAGACGCCCCAGGGGTGGGGCTGAAGTCTCGCGGTTTAACAAGAACCACACGGGGATTTGGCCATCAGCCAGGTTGGGGAACTACTGACTTAATCTTCCTTCCAGCTCTGACTGAGATCTGCCCTGTGCATGTCCCGGGAACACAGACAAATCAGGGCGAGTCTCCGCTCCCCATCCAGAAGGCAGAGGGAACTTGCCTTTCTCTCCCGGAAGGGAAGCATAAGGCCCCCTGCACACCCTCCCCAAGCTCTCTCCCAACCGCTGGAAGCTGGGGCACGGGCCTCCTGCCCCTCCGCACAGCTGAGCCCCTCCTCAGAGCCACACCTGACCAGCCACACCGCTCCCCACCCTTCTCCAGGCTGGGGACGCCCTGTCCATCCTCCCCAAGTGGGCAGGGGCTCTTCTCTGCGGAAGCCCCAAGCTTCTGGCAGTGTCGACGTGAACAGGGGAGAGGGGCAGGCTAGAGGGGCCACCGGCCTCCCTTTCACCCCTAAGTATGGAAAGTTCCAGCGTCCTGGCTCCCAGTCCCAGCAGTCTGCCACATGCCCATTTCATCTGTGAGCAGCCAGGGCTCCCACCTTCGGCTAGCTCAAGCAGGCAGCCCTGGGGGCACCGGAGCCCTCAGGTCCTGCAGCAGTGGGCTGGATCTCCCAGAGGCCCCCAGGTCCTGCAGGGGCCCCTGGGGTCCCGGTTTGTCACCCACAGGGACGAGGGCGGGTTGGGATGAAGAACCAAGGCCCGGTGAGCACGCTGCCTCATCCCTGCCGACTGGGTTCTCTGCTGGAGTCGGGACGTCTCCCTCCCCAGCCCATGTCCACCAACCAACGGAGGGAGTGCCTTCTCCCCTCCGGGGTGATGATGTGAGTCACCAGGACTCCCCTTGCTGTGCTAGGGGCTTCCCATACACCAGCACACAGAATCCTCACAAAAATGCCAGGAGGTAGTTATTACGATGATTATCCCCATTTTACAGATGAGGAAACTGAGACAGGGAGAGGTTAAACAACTTCCCCGGGTCACACAGCCGGGATTCAAACCCAGGCTGACCAGAGAGCCCACACACTTAACCACGTTATGCTACTCTCAAAGCACACTCAAAAGTCACCTCCTCAGGGAAGTCTCCCCGGCACTGTCTCTGGGTGTCCACTGTGCAGCATCGCGCCTCCACCCCAGCACACACCCCTGCTGGGCTCTAATCATGTGGCTCGGGAGTGAGGCTGCCTGGGTTTGACTCCCGGCTCCCCTCGCTGGGTCACCCTGGGGGCCATTGCTTAACCTCTCAACACCTCAGCTTCTTTATCTGGGCCTCTGAGACCAGAGCTCGTGGAGCACAGGAGGGGAGCTGCCGTGGGGGCCCAGCAGAGGACTTGGTGCACCAGTGATGCTCGTGGTCTGTCAGGATCTGACATCCCAGAGAGGCCTTGGCAGCTACCCCCTGCCCACCAGGTACCCACATGGGAGGGGCCGCCCCTCCACTCAGTCCCCTCCCACCCCAGCCAGTCCAGACAAGCAGAAAGGGACTCACTTGGAGACGAGCGAGAAAGCCTCCGAGCAGATGGCAGGACAGGGGACGAACTTGATGAGGATGTGGCCCAGGGCCGCGGGGAAGTGGGCGCGTGTGACCTTCTCCAGCACAGAGCTGAAGGTGTGGATGTCGGCCGCCTTGCAGGAGGGGTCCCCTGAGCCCGTGTCCAGGATGTTCCCCCCGTGCAGCACGAGCAGAAGGACGTGCGTCTTGCAGGAGCGCTGTGGGCAGCCTTCCTGAGAGGGACGGCAGTGGGGATCAGAGACACGCAGCAGGAAGCCGGCACAGGGGTGCACACAGAGGATCACACACACAGGGCACTGTGGCTGGAGAAGCAGGCACTGTGCCCAGCCCATCTCAGCTCCAAGTCGGGGAGCTCTCTAGCCCCCATGTGAAGGGACCTCCTGTGCATTCAGAGCGAGGGGCACAGCTGCCAGGAGGGCAAGCCCCTCGAAGTCAGGGCAGGAAGGGTGCCAAGAGGCCTCTCTTGTTCATATGGGAGCCAGAAGCCCAGAGAAGGACAGGGACTTGCCTAGGGTCACCCAGCAAGTCAAATGAAGAGCGGGGTGAAAACCAGGCAGCCTGTCTACCAGCCTAGGGCTCTTCCTGAAATCCTGACCCCAGAGGCGGACCCAGACACCCCCAGAAACCCAGCCCACCTCATTGTCTTCGTGGATCTCGATGCTTCCCTGGGCTGGGAACTTCTGTCTTCTCAAGGAAACCCGGTACAGTTCTCCTGTGGCGGGAAGAGGAGACTCAGCGTCTCCAGGCCTCCCTCATGGCAACTGGATGTTCCCTGGGGCCAAGCTGGCACGAGGCCCGGGCTTATGGCAAGCTGGAACCATAGCATCCGGAACTAGGGAGTCACTCCGTCCAGCCCCCTGCCTCTGAAATCAACACACCCTGAAACCTTCTCCTCCTAAGGAAAGGACGACCAGCTGGGTGAGGCCACGGCGGATGCTATCCCCAAGGCCAGGAGGGGTGTCCCAGAAAGGAACTACCCTGCTTTTTTCCACCAACAACAGCGACAGTGTGGGTGTCATCTGGTGACCTCCACTTCCAGTTACGGGCGGAAATTTGGGCCAAGCATCCGTCTGAAAACAGCTAGAGCTATCAGAGTGATAGCCAGGCTCTGAATTATGGGAACTGGTCCAAGGGTGGGGGACCCTCAGAGAGGTAAGGCAGCATTTGGGACCACACTCGTCATCACCCACAGCTCTGGGGTGACGCCAGCCACTGCCAGGATGCTCGCCTTGCTTCTCTCAGCTGCCACCTCCTCCTCCAGGAGGCGCTTCTTGGCACCTAGCCCCGCCCGAGCTCTCGTTCCTCTTAACACAGGGATCAGTAAACCACCGCCACGGACCAGATCTGGCCTGCCGCCAGTTTTTGTAAGTAAAGTTTTATTGGGACACAACCGGGCTCTTTCATTTCCGTATTGTCTGTAGCGACTCTGGTGCCACAGTGGCAGAGCTGAGCGTCACAGAGTCCTGACAGCCCGCAAAGCCTGAAATATTTACTATCTCGTCCTTTACAGAAAAGTATGCCGACCCCGAGCTAACACCTACGTTCCTGAACATCACTGCATTGGACTCTTGGGTGGAGAGAGGGCCCCCTCACCGTCCACCCGATGAGGACTGCCACCCTGAGAAATCCTCCCTTCCATCCAGCTGACCTCGCCTCCTCTCCTTTCTCCCCCAGGAGAAGGATGCTATTTTCTCTGTGTGGCTGAAGCTCACCGCTAGACTGTGAACCACTTGTTTGCCTTCAATGACGGGGAACTCACTTATCTCCTAAAGCAGCCGGTTCTAGACAAGGATGGCAATTGCCTTCTTCACACTCCACCCCCACCCCTGCCGCGAGCCTGCCGCACCCCGCTAGGAGTCACACCTGGGGAGGGTCCTTCCCAGGGGCCTTTTGGGCAACCCTGCGGTAGGCGTGGGTGGGCACGCTGGCCAAGGTGCGTCTGAGTCAACATCCTTTCAGCCACTACTAGCCCCAGGGGAGGGTGCGTCTGCAAAGAATTCCAAACTAGAAGCTTTTCTTAGCAGGGAAGTGCATTTCCAAACTATCCTGTCCTCACAGACACCACCCTGGTCTAAGGGTAACTGCTTTATGAGCTTGGAGCAGCTGCCCACATAGACAGGAAATCGTTTCCTAGATGATGGAGGAGTTTGGCTTGGAGGAGAGGGAGGAAAAACTTGTTCTGAGGCCTGGCTCTGCCCAGCACTTAGTAACGCTCCTTCCAGTGGCTCAGACTCTGCTGCCTCATTTCTAACAGTCTGTAGACCCCGCCTAGAAGAGACCTGGGCCCTGCCCTCAGGACAGGAGAGTAATAAAAGACAACAGAAGATGGCTCAGTTTTACCGAGCACTCATATCCCAGGACGATGTGCTGTACATGTCTCATCCCATCTAGTCCCCACGATTACCCTCTGAGCATTGGTCCTCTTGTTATTAGCCCCATTTTACAGATGAGCAAACTGAGGCTCAGAAAACCTAAGTGGCTTGCCCCGGGCTGTACAACTAATAAGACTGAGTGAGCTGGCACATGAACCCAACAGAAGATGATGCTCGACAAGGTCGAGCATCCTGACCTCCACAGCTTCCCAGGGAAGTGGACGTGACACTCCCCATTCTGCAGGAGAAGAAACAGAAGCACAAATTGATAATGGGCACCTTGAACTGAAGTCCAGGTCTGCCCCCATGAGCCCTCTTCCCACCACACGTGAAACAGTTTGCTAGCAGGAAAGAGAGCGCCCGGGAGGGAAGCAGAGTGTGGCTTCCCCAGCATGAAGCAGCCACACTTCATGGTTTGGGCGGCTCTGGGGCGGTCAGACCAGGAAGAACCAGGAGTGGGGCAGGGATGAGGTCACAGGCATGGAGCCTAGAAGACCCCTCACCTCTGGGGCTGGGAGGGAGGGATCTGGCTGAAAACATGGACTTTGGAGTTAGAATGCCTGAGTTCAAATGTTAGCTCTTACCAGCTGTGTGATCACGCCTCAGTTTCCTCATCTGGAATATGGGGATAATAATAGTAGCTACTTTGTAGAGTGGTGATGAGGATGAATGAGTTTATATACACAAAGTGCTTAGAACAGGGCCTGGAACACGGTAAGTGCTATATAAGCGTTAGTTGTTGTTGCTGTTATTACTAGGATGCATGGGGGCAGGGGGCACAGAGCCAGGGCCACACCTGACAAGATGGGCCCGCAGGCTGATGGGGACACAGCTGCCTCCACACTCTCCTGCCCCTCCCCCAAACCCCTCCCTGAGCCCTGGCAGGCTCCTGGCCTCCCCGGGCTGGGTGCCCGCGTGCAGTGTGATTACAGGATTAAATACTGTGATTGCCACAAATTATACAAATTACCATAGCGAGGCTATAAATAAGTCACTGGGAAGACAGGAGGGTCCTGCCGTTTCCCAGGCACCATGCCCTCTGTTAGGAGGGGGCTGCATCCTTCGCCCTCACTGATGACACAGACCAGCAGCACCTTCATCCTTGATCTGCCTGCGGTCAGCTCCCTTGGGGCCCGCATGATGTTCTGGGCATCGAATCCGTGGACCAGTGCCGCATCCTGGCTGCAAATGATGCTGAGGCAGTTCTTGGCTTGGGAGATGGGAGACTGAGAGGGTTGTCCTCACATCCCTCACTCTCTCCCTAGCCAAGGGAAAGAGTCTGGCCTCCCATGCTCTTTGGGGATGGAGCCTTGCTTCCCTGCAATGCACAAAACCCAGAAATGCTTTGCTCTGGGAGAGGGGAGAGGGGAAATCTGCCTGCCAGATCTAGATTCTGGCCCCTTGAGCGAGACAGAGTTACCCCACTGGAAGGTACGTCTCCAGTCTTCACAGAGACTTCACAGCAGACAAGCAGAAAGGCAGCCTGGAGGCACCCCCTGCCTGTACCTTGCCAACAAGGGGTCTGCTCTTCCAAGAACCAGACATTCCCACCACAATAACTGAGGCCACTGGCTCTGACTCAACCACAAGACAGCTCTTTCACTCTTCCACGCCTTTGCTCATGCTGAGCCCACCACCTGGTAAGCCCTTCCTCCCTTTGCAGACTGACAAATTCCTACCTGTCCTTCAAAACCCTGCTCTACTGTCACCGCCTCTGGAAAGCCTTCTCAGATCTACTTAGGCAGAGATGATGCTGAGCTGGGCCTGGCTCACTGCTGTGAGGTTACCTGTCTATTTCCCTATCAGACTGGGGACCCCTTGAGAGCAGGGTTTATCAGCTGTCAGGGCCTAGCATGACATTTTTGTGAAAACTTATTGCAGATGAAGATCCCAGGGTACACACGGTCTGTGAGACGTGTCTATGCTGTTAACCCCTTGGGAGAAATCGGGCTCAGGGAAGCATCATCCAAGGGGTAGTGCATTTCTTAAAAGTCCCCAGGGGAGCTGGTAAGAGGAGCCTCTGGGAGTTCTAGAACAGCCTGGCCTGGGCTTTATGGCTCCGCCTCCAGAGGCTACCCCACAGCCTCTGCTGACAAGAGCTGCTGGCATGGGGTCCTGGTTGGTGGGGAGCCACATGCCAGGAGCCCAGGACCTCATTATCAGGCTGCCTATTTCTTCCCACTTCCTATTCATTTCTGTCTGCATGGCCCTATTCAGGCAGGGTCCCTACGGTGCCCAGATTTGCGGTGGGGAGAGCCCATAGCTGTTTGTGTGACAACGTTTGGTGACAAGCTTGAGGCAGGCCAGCTACACCAGCGCCTGCTCCCAGCACCCCTGCCAACCCTGCCCCTGGAACCAAGGGCCCCCCGCTCACCACGGCTCCTCCTGCTGGCTGAAGAATGGAGGCTATTTTTGCTTAATCACAACCTTGGAAAGGCACGAATCGTGATCATCCCTTCTAATTACCGATGTGCCACACTGCTCTTGAGACAAAAGCCAAGGTCACCACCCTCACACTCGTCACCCTAAGCAAAGCATCACCCAGCTTAGCTGAAGAATCCGACTGTCTCCACCTCTCTTGCCACCAGCTGCTGGGACCCACAAGGGGTGGATGCTGGGGGTGTCCCCTGGCTAAAGCTGACCACTCAATTTCCCCCTCCATCCTGCCAGCCCCTGAAGTCACCCTCACCTCCGTTAGTCAACCCTGGGGTCAACTGAGCAGAGCGGGGCCCAGCTTGAGACCGTGGGGCATGTCCTGAGAAGCACCTACCAAAGTCTCCAATCTAATCCCCCATGGGCACGTGGAAGCATACGCACGGCCATAAACACACAAATATTTTGGATGAACCCAATGGCTGTGCTATCTTGCTCTGATGTGGGATACAGGAGAGATACCTGGGAAAATCTGGGAAGATCTAGAGCCTCACTCAGCAGCCATCACGGGGCTCAGACCCCCAGGTAAACCCACACGGAGAGGGACACACACAGGAGGAAACAGGCCATGGAAAGAGTCCTGGGGTGGGAAATGAACGCCCTAGTCGGAGGGTGACCTTGGACGCCCTCTCCACACCACCGCAAAATCAGGGGGTCGGCCTACGTTCCCTCTTAAGACCAAGGCGGTTGGAGAGTCTCTGAATCCAAGCATGAGGAGACGGTGCCCTGTGTGGGTCCCAGCCTCCGAGCCCAGCAGAATTGGTCCCCACGCCCCTGACGGGAGCTGCGGCCATGGTTGGTGAGTTGCTCTGAGGGACTGCGGAGGAAGGAAGAGGAACCCAGCAGCAAACGTCACCTGGATTTTCAAAGTGGTTGATTCCAGCTGGGGAGCTTGCTGTCTACTCCC